CCCCCTTCTACCACTTCCCCGCCCTCCACCCCGATCTACTTTCGTCCTCTCCCCTCGCGTCTTGGCGTCTTCCTTGCAACTCACATTCTCTTAACGAATAAACGGGCTGGCGAACCCAAGTCTACGCTCTAATTAGGTTACCCACACGGTTAAGTTCTTAGTTCTTACAAAGCGATGCTTTCTATAAATGCTCTACAAATTGCGAAGGATTTGGAAACTTTGTGATCCTGACAACGAAGCATTACGTTCTAACTTTAAAAAGGCGGTGTACTTTGCAATTGCAAAGCAATGCTCTTCAAGCTGCAAACCTGATATTTGCAATGGCAATATAAATAATGTAAATTTGTAATCGGCTATGAGGATGCTTCGCACAGGGTAAAACAGTGATAGCTGAAGCTGAAAAGTCCACAAAATACCAGTCAATTAGTGACCAAAAGTTCACCTTCTGGTGGTGCTTTTTAAATTCCCGATACCATTTTTAACAGCTTTTATCAACGGCTTTTTCACACACATCTCCCTAAATTTCAAGTGCGCCTATAAATCAACATCTTTTTGATGATAATAATTATTGATTCGCAAGGCAACATCGCTCGTTCCTTTCAAAGACTTGCTAGTCATGACTTGCAGTGGAAAATGGTTTACCCGTCGGCGGCGCGCGGCCACGGCTCTAGGACCTGAAGGTCCTCCAGGGCCTTCAGGCCGAGCCCAGCGGACACCATCTCCGTTCGCCCCGGGCAGCGCGAGCGCGCAGAGCGGCGGCAGCAGCCTGTTACCTGTCGACAGAAAATGAGCGCCATTAGACACGGCGCCGTGCTCAGCCGCGAGCGCGAAACAAAGCCAGAAAAATGCCTCTCGCAATTCGACCATCGAAACAGCAGCAGGAGCAGAGAGCATTCCGAAAGCACTAGGCCAGGCCGCGGATTCTTCACACCTGCTAGGCTGAGCCCCAGCGGGCCTCGCGGCCAAACGTCGCGGGGGCAGCCAGCCACGCCCCCCTCCCCCTCCTCCCCCAGCGGCAACTAGACTGACCACTGCATCTCCCCCTCCGCCATCCCCCCGGGCGGCTGTTACACAATACCGGCCGCGCCTGGTCTCTCGGGTTAGGGAACGTCCTTGTGCTGCGGCAGTGGTGGCAGCGGCGGTGCAGCCACCGGCCCCCTCCTCTCTCCACCTTGTGCAGCCTCTCCCCTCCCTTCCCCAAAAGCAAAGAAGCGGACGCGTTTACACCTCAGCTCACCCGCTCACCAGTTCCCCCGCCC